TTTTTTTCTTTTCCTTTTTTTTGTTGTTATTGTGCCGGTGGCGATGTGCCGACTTGTGTGTCCTTTGCGTTCAGCAGCCCGTGGGACGATGCGCGTTTGTGTGAGCTCCGCCGTTGGGGCGGCACACCGCGTCCTTTTGTTCCGTTATCGCGTCTATCGTCATCGTTTCCTCCTTCCGTCTCGGTGTGTGGCTGGGCGAGTTCCCTCTCTGGAAGCGCCCCGACCGTCGCTGGCGGCTCTCGGAGGCTAACGCGTGGCTGTGGAGCTCGTCCCTCTTCCGCTTTCTCTTCTTCCCCGCTGCTGCTGTTTCCTCCTCCTCCTGCTCGGCAGTTGCCGCTTCAGTGCAGAGCTCGTTCTGAGCTCCGACAACTGGCAGGCCTCCTGGCGTTCTTGCAGGAACGACTGAGTGACGTGGACAGACTGCGGCGTACAAGTGTAGGAATCCGGGCACACAGCTGAGGGCCTTTTTCCCTCCTTCAAACAAAATAGGCGAAAGGAAAAGCAAATAAATAAAAAAAAGCGAAACAAGGAAACAAGGCAAAATATATTTATTATACGTTATTCTTTCAAGCGCCGATGACGTTTCGTGGTGCGCTCTTGTGGGTATCCTGTGTGATGCTGCTGCTGCTGCTTCTGTGTGCGCCACGGTGGCTAAAGGTGGATGCCGCAGCTGCGGGCACGACCCCAGAGGTACCCAGCGTATCCTTGTCTCTTCTAGGGAACCTGCACTACGACTTGTTTTTCGGCAGACCGGGTGGCTATGGCGTGTGCAACCAAGGCCATCCATCCATAGCGACGCCGGGCTGCGATTCCCCTCTGCGGCTTATTCGTTCCGTCATGGATGACGTCTCCCGGTGGGACCGGTCGTTCAACTTGATTACTGGAGGTTTGTTTCGCCACGGCACAGACACTATCAGCGCGACTGAAGTTGAAACCATGATGAAAGATGTGGTGGGTGTAATAGCCAATAGTAGTGGCATGAGCAGTGCCGGAGGTGGTGAGAGTGTGGCGTCCCGAACGCAGGTGGCTCTGGGGGGCACGGATTTTATTCCTCCCAATTCCTTCACTTCGGAGGGGAAGCATCCGCAGCTTTTGCGACTACTAAGCCTGATGGAATCCAGCGGTCTTATAAGTTTACAGGAGAGCAAAAAAATGGCAACCTGTGGGTATTATTTCCGCGACCTGAGTGGCACCAAACTTCGCGTGATTTCATTGAACACCCTGCTTTGGTCAAACGCACAACGAACGCCACCTGGCGTGGGTGAGGTAGACCCATGTGGGCAGTTTCCGTTTCTGCAACGCACCATTGATCAGGCCATACAGCGCGGTCGGAACGTTATCATTCTTGGCGACACGCCTCCCACTATTAATGTCGCAGATGCCCTGCGCAAGGAAAGTATTGCGGAGGCTGATACGTACTGGCGTGAGGATTTCCGCGAATCCTACTTTCGCATCATTGCCACCTACCGCTTTTCCGTTGCGGCCCAATTTTTTGGGAACACAAGCACGTTTGGCTTCGTGGACTCCCCTGAGGTGGGGCCGCCGCTTTACATCGTTCCCCCTATTTCTCCAGTGACGGGCAGCAACCCCTCCTACCTGCACGCGACGCTGGACAGTAATACAGGGCGGGTGCTGACGCTCATGCAGCGGTACCTGAGCGAGGAGGGTATTTGGGTTGAGGGGGAAAGCCTGGAGAACGTCATTGAAGTGCCACTGCGAGCATTGGAAGAATATCTGCCAAAGGACCTTTTGCTCATCACCGAGAGAGAGAAGAAGTGGGAAAGACTGATGATGATGCGCGTTGGTGGACGTTTCTTAACTGAAAGGGGGGCCTGTGGAGTGTGGTGCCGTCGAGTAATTGTGTGTGCTTCTCGCTTTTACAAGAAAGCTAGCATTGAGAGTTGTGCTTCAATGGATTTGCCCTCGCAGCGACTGGGGTTGATACTCGCCATCGTTTTTAACTGTTTTGGTGTGCTGCTGATTGCGTTCTCCGTTGGCTACATGATATCGCACCACAAGGTGATCTTTCACCCACCCGAGGTGGTGGGGATGCGAAAGCAGCGGCGAAGGCTGTTTTCGGGGCACACGGAGGAGGTGTTCAGTTAAGACGGTTGGGTGGGGCGGCACCCCCCCCCCCACCTCCTCGCCCCCTCGCTCAATTGCTGCCGGTTGTTGTTGTTGTTTTTCTTATTGTTGTAAGTTCCGCACTTTTTTCGGCGCGCGCGTGTCTCTTTCCCTCTCCCTTTCCTTTCTTTCCTCCTTTCCTTCTCTCTCTCTTCCTCTCGCTTGCTTTTTCTCGCTATTTCTTTGTTTATTGCACCTCCACCGCCCGCGCCGCTCTTCGCATGCACGTGGTGTCGTCCCCGCGGGGACGTCAGCGCCGCACGGCCGCGGTTTGGTGTACGGCAGTGTCTGCGGATCGTGTCGAGGTCTTTTTTTCCTTTTTTTTTTTGTGCCGCGCCCCCTCTCGTTTGCCTCTCACTTCCCCGTCGACGCGTGTGCGTGTGTGGCGCGGTGGGGTCTCACCCTCCCGGGCGGGGGGCGGGCGGCTTTGGGCGCGGCCGTCACCAGCCGAACAATACGCGGCGGCGGGGAACGGAAACAGAAGAGCGAGGGAAGAAGAAGAAGAACAACAACAACAAAAAGAAAAACGCGGCAAGACGCCTGGGAAAATGATGTTTGAGCGGCACAACAAATTTAGAATTTTTACCGCCGCTGTTTTTTTTTTGTGTGTGTGTGTGCGTGTGTATGTGCAACCCCGTCCCCCGGTGGGGGCGAAGTGAACCCGAGGGCGGGTGGGGCCACGGGGGCCTGCCCACAGCAGCAGAGGCAGCCGTCTGCGGCAAACAAAGTGGAATGAAGCAAAACCCCCTCCCCCCCTTCCAGCCTTGCCTCGCCTCTCTTCACTTCTATCTTGATAAGTTTTCCGAGGAAGGAAGACGCCTATGCCACGCCCGCTTCTGCTGCTGTGCTTATTGCTGCTTTTGCTCCCTGCGTGCTGCAGCTGCATGCAGGCTGTTCTTGTGTCAGATGTCCACTACGACCCCTTCTACGGGACGCCCCGCGCCTACGGTCGATGCGTGGTCCCAAGCCCGCCCCTCGGGGCCCCCGCATGCGAGTCCTCGGCGGGGCTCGTCACATCGCTGAGCGAAGACATTGGCCCAACGGCGTCCTACTACATGTTTGTGGGAGGGGACTTGCAACGACATGCATTTTCAATTGAGGATCACCACATAAACGATACCTTTGGGTTTGTCGTTGAAAAGCTTGCCGGGGCTTTCCAGCCTGCGGCCCACAATGACACGTCAGCTGTGGTGGTGGCCGCGGGAAACAACGACATGGTGCCGGACTACTACTTTGACGTCAGCAAGCCTGCCTCCAAGATTCTCCAGGAGGAGTCGAAACTCATGCAGAAATACGGCGTACTTGCACTGGAGGAGGCCAAACAGTTTGAGAAGTGTGCGTACTACTTGCGTGTGATCTCTTCTACCTTGCGCGTTATCGTTTTGCACAGCCTTCTCTGGTGCCACACGATTTATCCCCCTATTTCTGACGCCGAAAACGATCCATGTGGTCAGTTTGAGTTTTTGACCACTGAGCTGGCAAATGCGCGGAAAGCACGCGCAAAGGTCATCATCATGAGCCACATTCCCCCGTACGTTGACTCATGGAAGTTGCTTCACGCCGGGCGCTTTACCGCAGTGTCGGAGAACATGTTCTGGAAGCCCAAGTACCAGGCGCGCTTTAACAAGTTAATGCGAGAGTACGTGGACACCGTGACGGTGCAGCTGTACGGTCACGTACACCTATTTTCTTTTCAGGCGCTCACCGGCGGTGTGCCGTCCTTCGTCATTCCTGCCACAACGCCGCTGTATAAAAACCTTCCCTCCTACTTCATTGCGCGCCTGAGTGACGAAGATTTCGCCCTGCGAGGCCTCACTCAGCGCTACTTAAGCAAAGGAGCTTGGACCAATGGACTTTCTGTGGAAGATGTACTTGGGGACTTGACCAATATTTCCTCGCTTCAGGCGTCTGCAAGGCGGCTGATGACCGACGACAGCTTGTGGTCAAAGTTTTTGGCGTTGCGCGCGGGTGGGGTGGAGGACGACAGTTTGTTCCCCAGCAAGAGCTGCGACGCGTGGTGCCGGGCATCCATCGCCTGCACCATGTTCTCGGACACATGGGAGGACATTGCGGCCTGCGTGAGTGCAAGTACAAAACACCCACCTCATGAAGCTGAGGATTCAAAGATGAGAATTGCCGTTCCCATCTTTCTTTCACTTATCTTCTTTCTTCTGCTCCTGAGCATTGCTCTAATGATTCTCCACAGACTAAGGCAGCGACGCAGAGCGGAGTATGCACAGGAGGCGCACGGGGAGTGGACGGTTCCAGCGTCGGCGCTTCGTGCTGGCACGGAGAACGGGGTGGAGGTGCATCAGGAACAAATGGAGGTTAAGCTGCAGGACAACAACCGCAGTTAGAGCTGAGGCGCCAATGTGTTTGTATTTTCCTTTTCTTGCTGTTTAGGAAATCCTAGGAGGCATCTGGGAGCAGATGGGGCGAAGTGGGCACTAACGACCCTAGTTAAACTACTTTGCTTTACAAAAAGAGGAAGGAATTATTTAGTTGGTTTTTCATTCCAATGCCACTCTGTGGTTGATGAGAGCAGAGGAGTTTTTATTATTTGTTCCTTTGTTTGTTTCTTTTCCGGTCTTGAGGACCTTTTTGCCCTTCTGCGTGCGTGCCCGTGCCCACGGTTGAGCGTCCGCGGCGCGGGAGGAACGCCTGGCGGGCACGGGGGTGGGTGGGGGGGGGATGGAGACAATAGAGAAGTACTTAGTGGGCGCAGTGGCACGCGCATTTTAACCACACGCCTGCAACGTGCCGTGGGCCACGTTTGGGTGGGTGCGGTGGACGCAGCGTGACGGCCACACGGTGGTGGTTGCTTCGGGCGCGACGGCGATGAAGGAAAGAAAAAAAAGAGCAAAAAAAAGACAGCAACAACAACAATGAAGAAAGGGCAGGCACCGTGTTAAAGGAGGGGGGTGGGGGGATCGCGGCGGAACCAAAAGATTTGCGCCCCCCTGCACGTCGTGCGGGACGAGATTGCACTCACGCATCGTATGTTTTTTTGTTTTAACGTGGGGTTATTATTATTATTATTATTATTATTTAAGATTTGCTTCTATGCGTGTTTTTTTTTCTTTTCCCCCTTTCTTCTTTTCTTCTTCTCTTCTCACGTTGTTGGGGCGAGCGGTGTTAGGTTTGGCCGACGATGGTGCACTCCTACGGTTACAAGTGTGGCACCCGCCACCTCTTCGCGAAGAAGTTTCGCAAGCACGGGAACCCCTCCGTGAGCACCCTGCTGACGAACTTCAAGGTCGGCGACTACGTCGACGTCGTGGCGGACTCCGCCGTGCGGGCCGGGATGCCGCACAAGTACTACCACGGCCGCACGGGCATCGTCTGGAACGTCACCCCGCGCGGCGTCGGCGTGATTGTGAACAAGCCGGTCCGCAACCGCACGATCCGCAAGCGCATCTGCGTGCGCTTCGAGCACGTGCGCAAGTCGCGCTGCCAGGAGGCCTTCAAGCAGAAGCAGAAGGACTTTGCGGCCTTCCAGGCGGCGAAGAAGGCCGGTAAGCCGCTGCCTGCCCCGAAGAAGAGCCTCCGCAACGGCGGCATCGTTCGCCCGAAGAAGGTGGAGGTGCTCGCCCGCCGCACCGCCGACTACGAGGCCATGATCCCCTACTAAGCGAGAACCATCCGTC